AGAATTTAAACCATCAAAATGTGATTAAAATTGAAAATGCTTGAGGAAATGATTAAATGTAAATTTTTTTCAAACAAACTCCATTTCAACTTCAATTAGTTTCGGGGTTTATTCTAAATTGACAACAAAGCTCAATTTCTAATTGATTTACATTTGAAAGGGTCACAAATTTTTGGTTGAATGGCCCATCGACTTGTCGAGCTCACACTGCAGTTTTCGCCGAAGGTGTCGAGCACCCGATAAAATTCGAATTGAGAGTCGTTATGCAGAAGAGAGCCAAAAGCAGAGACACGTGACCGTTTGGGCTCAATTACCATCAGCCCTAATGGGCCATCACGTGTCAAAAATGTAAGCACCGGCGAGCCTTCCTCCGTTATTTATTTCGCCCCTTTGGCTGCTCCTTTAAGAATAGGAGGCGCGAGAGTGGCGCAGAAAGAGTTATTTGCGTCTTGCTGCAGAAACAAGTAATAGTTTTGTGCCGGCAGCGAGACCGGTCAAAGAGAGAAGAAAGCGCGCCTTGTTGGACGCAAATAGGCAACCTGCTCGGCATTCCCGACCCGCCGGTTGCATAATTGCCAACCGGGCAGGGGCTATTGATTTCTTTTGTGCAGAAACAGTAACTGCGTTTCATTTTTTTTCCATTCTTGCTCTTTCGCAATTGGGGATTTTGGAGAAAAAAAGGCTTGATTGTCTGGCCGTCTTTGTGGAGCAGCTCTTTGTGGGCAAATGCTTCTTGAGTAGGCGGAGTTTGGTGCTTGAGGACGCCTTTTGAACTCGCGTTCATTCGCATGCATATTCTCGTGAGGATATGCTGCATTCAGAGAAGTATCGTGATAAGGTTAAAAGGAATGGCGGTGAAAAAAACCACCCCTCGGGACAGGGTATTGAACCACGTCATTGGGCTCGTCTGTTTATTTCACGCCATGTATGGAATTTTATTTCAACTAATTGTAATTGTAAAATAAAAAAATAGAAATACATTCTTTTTACAATTTGCATAACTTCATGTATTTTGCTTGCATTTTTTTTCTTTTGCATCTTGAAAAAAAAAATAGAATTTCATTTTGGAACAAATTTTAATTTAAAATCTAAGAAATAGTAAATTTGTTATTAATTTTTATTTTTTCTTATAAGGTAAAACAATTATGTCTTATTTTAATTTTAATTATTAAATAAATTGATTATTTTACTCAAATCCATTGAAAAATTCAGAAGTTATTTTATTAATAATATTTTCCAGGGAGAATTTTTAAATTATTACTTACTTGAGCTCTCTCATTAGGCCACACGCATTGCTTAAGGTTTTCATCACGAACAATTTCTCACGGTTGAAACGCGATACCGTGATTAATGAGAGTCTCGGCACACATTTAATTTTGCGTCATAATATGGACGGCGCGAGGAGAATAAAAATAAATAAATAAGTCTCGGGGAAACGCGGAGTTGCGCTCGCGCGTGCCAATTATCAAGAAACGAACCGCAAGAGAGAGAAAGAAAGAACGAGGTTCATTAAACTTAATAATGACTCACGCTCGCTGCAAAAAAGTGCTGAGAATACTCTTCTTTTTTTAACAAACTCTCTCGTCGCCGCTGGATATGGATTAAAAAAGAATTCATCCCCCATTGGAAACGAGGCTGCGGAAAATCGATGCGCTGGAAAATTGATTGGAATGTTACGGCTCGGCACTTTTTTTGCAGTTAAAGGGTTTAGCGCGCCGGATTGAAGTCGAGCGTTAAAAGTTAATGCCGGTTGAGACCCCCCCCCCCCCCCCAGCGGGAAATCAATAGCAGGCTCAGAATACACGGGGATCAATAGTCGATCAATTTGTTGGTACGCGACCCGATTTTGGAGAAGGCGGCATTTTTGCAGTCGAGTCTGACCCGCGCCGCTGTTACGTGCCTTTTTTTATTTCGCTCATCTTTTGCTTCGGATGAGAGTGCGTTTCTTTCAAGGCAAAAGTGGGACGACGGATAAAATGCGCATTTAAGTGAAGTGCACTTTGGTTTCCCGCAGTAAACAGAACAGAAAAATTGGGTCATCGCAAAAAAAAAACACTTTTGTTTCAGAATTATTTTCATTTTCCAAGAAACTAATTTTATTTTCACCATATTTAAGGGTAAAAAAATTCCAGAAAACTTATTGATGCTTAATTATGTGGAGATAAATTTAATCAATAATCTTTATTTTCACCCTTCCAATTTTGTGATGAGCTAAAAAATTAAATCTACTTAACTTTCACTTTAAAAATTGTCTTTTCCAATTATTAACTCTTCCCTCATTTGTTTCATTTCACTCTTATTGGCTCTTCATTCCGAATTAATCTTCGCAGCTTGAAATTTTCCCTGCTTTTGTTTCGCAATCAACCCATCGAAGCGTTTCGTTCATAAATTCGAGCTTCTCGCGAAACCATTTTATCATCAGCAAACAGCTTCTGACGTTTTATTCGCGTTTGTGAAGACAGGTGCAGCCGTTCTCACAGCGGAATCGGATCCCAGACAGCCTGAGCAAAGAGTTTTTGTGTTCTCCATTGTCGGGAAACGCACGTGTCGTCGACGGGTTGAAATATTATTAACAGAGAGACTCGTCTCGAATTTGCCAATATTTGATGAAAACAAAATCTTGGCATCGGATGCGGCTTATTTGGACAAAAAATCTTATTATTGCTATCAGAGGAAAGATGTGAATAATTCTGGTGTGTAAATATCTCTGATCATCGTAAAATTTTAATGACTTTTGCACGCCGAAAGCAGCACGCGTGATTATTACCGGGTGTTGGGGTGTAATAAACTTTTGGGTGTGTTGATGGAAAGGTGTGCGAGTGGGTGGCAAGATGATCAAACACTGCGTTAAAGCGAGCCGTGCCAAAAAGAGGTTGCCAGTGGCGTTGGGCTCTGAAGCACGATTAAATTAGCAAACAAATTTTTGCTACTTTTCGCTGCAAAAAAGTTAGAAAAAAATGTTTTTGTTATTTTGATATTTCAAAATTTTTTACAAATAATATTAGTGGACAAAAGTTGATTTTGATAACTCTTTTAAAAAAAACAAAACCATTAAGTATGATAAGATCTAATTAGTCTTTTTCATAATTATTAAAAAAATTCCTGCATGCGAATTGTGGTGAACTTGAAATCGAATGTAATTTAAAAGCCTCAGACCGCCACTGCGGTGCGGCCACGCGTGGAGATTGGGAAAAGATAAGAAGCGTTGGTTGGACAAGTACGATAACATGAGCCCAGGAGTAATCTACGACATAATTCAGCCCATCTGTTACAGGATGTAATGTGACTCATTTATGTAAATAACACTATTATTATCTTCTATAGGCAAATAAAACAGAACCGAATAATGACAACAAAAAACTAATGATTTTTAAAATAATTATTCAATCTATTTTCATCAATTAATGTAAAAATATTCTGTTTAAAAAATGACTTTCTTTTTCCCCCTTCATTTAAAATTGTTAGACCAAGGGTGAAAAAGTTATCAAGCATCTTATTGTTCGAGAGGCACAAAATCAACCGCGGTTTACGAGTGTCAATTGGACAAACTTTACTGACTTGCGCACGAAATTAAAATAGTCCGGCCTTGTCGGGGCGTGCCCTAAAAAGTTAATTCTGATGTACAGAGCCGACGCAAGGCTGGGTCGAAACAATCCATTTGAACAATTAACCTGCATTACGTATGCGAGAACACCTGCAACATGCAAACGTATCACGCTCAACTTGATCGATTACACTACGAATCGCCTTTACTTTTAATTCTCATCCATCCTGCGGGATAATGTGTTTGTTGTTGTGCATAAATACAGACATTCGCTCTAGAGGGTCTAATTAAAGGACGGCTGCCGAGCAGTTCAGTGAATATTAGTTAGTCTGATTAAAGCGCGGCTTGTCACGTGAGTAGAAAAGAAAACCAACCGTTGACTCTCATGCACGGCGAAACCGATGAATTATGAGCCACGTTATCGTAATCGATGGAGAAATAATGCATGAGAGAAGGAAGCGGTTGACCGGGGGAGAAATTACGACCGGACAAAAGTGGAAGAAACGGCGGAGAATTGACGTCAGTGTGATCAAAAAAAGCCAAAGTGGCCATAAATTTCAAGGACAGTTGCTTGTTCTGCCAAAAAAAAATGTGATTTAAAGCTACTAATATTAAAACTAACAGTGCCAAATAAAAACTTATTGTAATAACTCTCTCAAATGTTCCATGGTAGTTTTTTTCTTTCTACTTCATTGCTGAATTTCCTGTGTTGCGCAAAATACTGTTCATAATGGGAAGAAACGTTTTCGTTTGTTTGAATATAAAATAGTATTGAATTTGCAAAAAATATATACCAGAGTGAAAACCAAGTTTTTTATATTATTGAGAAGAAATTTTAATTGTAATTGTAAAATCATTGCAAACCTTTTGTAGGACTATGCCAATCTGAGGAAAGGGAAGGTTTTGATAAAAAAATAAATGAATAAAAAAGTCTATACAATATACAATTTTGCATAATAATTGCCCCTTTTTGCACTTTTTCGCTGTAAGATTTCTTGGAATTATAAAAATTTACTGCACCTTTATTTTTTATAATTGTCTGAAGGTCCTCCTGAAGAATTTTGACTGTATAGAGATATTGTTAAAATCTAATTGAAAACAAAAGCTCCACTAACCAGGTAATTTTTTTTATAATCCAGATTGAAGTTGTGAATGATTCAACTTATTTTGCTTATTGAAAGTGCTCTGAAAGTTGTTTCCAGTAAAGTTTGAATAAATTTTTTTTATAAAAACTATTTTTTATCAGTTCAAAAAGTTGATCTTACCTTTAACCACGTGAACTTCTCATTTTTTTATTTTTATTTTTGTAAAACTAAATTTATGAAAAATTAGAAAGAAGGAAATTATGCAGAAAATTTTTTTTTAATTGTCAGGAATCCAGGTCAAACGTTTTGTTTTGGCAAGTGGCGCCATGTGCGGCGATAAAGGAAGAGAAAATCGTGTTCGGGACACTCACCAGGATGCGTCCGGTGGTGGTCTGGCCCGAGATGAGCTCGCCAGCCCAGTCCTTGGCCTCGGTGACAAAGGTGCCCTCGAACTCTTGCTTGTTCTGGCGCTGCGAGCGCTGCTCCTTCTGCTTGGGGTCATTGGGCGCCAACTCTGGCTCCTTTCGGCAGCAGAGGAAGGCGAAGGCGCGCCACAGCAGCACGATGGCCAACCCGGCCAGGAAGGTGAAGATGCTCGACAGCAGGAAGCACCACCATTTTCGCACGCTGAGGCAGTCGTCGTCGACGGCTGGCTCCTCGGTGGTGGTGGGCGACGCCGCCTCGCTCATGCTCAGGCTGCTCTGCAAACGCGGCTCTCGTCAGGGCTATCCCATCGCCCTGCGACGCCCCGCTGCCCAAAACCAACCCTAGCTTCGTCCGACCAACCCTCCGACGACGTGTTCTTGCGCTCTCTCGGTCGCTCTCGCTCTCTCTCTCTCTTTCTATCTCACTTCGGCTGCCCGTGCGCTCCCCTGATCGATAGCCGGGCCCTCGAATTTGCGCACTCTCGCTCGCTCTGGCTGCTGCTCAGCCTAGCCGGCGGGGACTCGCGGTGTGCCAGCGGCGGCCGTGACGTGCGCGCTGCCGTTCGCTCGACTCACCCAGTGTCCTATTTATCCACCGCCACCGACCGGCACCCCTTCCCTCTCTACGGGCCGCGTGGTTGCGGCACCAGCCTCACGTTGGCGCCTCGCATCAGTCTCCGTGTCAGTCCCAGGCGCCGACACAACAATCGGTGCTCACCCGCAGAACTAGAATAAGGGCTCTTTCGTAAATGCAACTTATCTAAACTCCGAAGGCTCCGTTTCCGGAGACGTGGCAAACTTACCCACAAAATCATTCCTGGTATGATTAGATCGAAAAATTATTTACTATCTGGATGATTTTCGATGTTATTTAAATTATTTCATTAGAAAAAATTATTGTAACTAAGTTTGGCCACAATTTGCGTCATTATTTCTTGCGACCTAATAAAGAAAACATTTCTGTTACATCCTTTTTTTAAATTGAAAAGTAAAATATTTACTTTTAAAAGTTTTGAAAGTATTCAATTTTGCGTTCATACATGCTGATAGAATAAATTTGTTGTAAGTATGAGATAAAATATACTGTCAAATTCAATCTATGTTGGAAACTAGCAATTAAAAGTTTTGAATATATTACAAAAAATTCTCCGCAGCAGGTTAACAAAGGACGCTTTCTTCTTCAGGGTCGTTGGGCCCTGGAATGTTCTTCCGGACGCCCTTAAAACCTACCCAGCGGAACAGTTTCCCAAATACCTGTGGACAAATTTGTGATAAGTGATAAGGAAAAAAACTAAAAGAGGGATAAGAACAAAAACCAAGTCAACCGAGGCTCACTGCGGCGGATGGGGTCTTTATTATCTCAGAAAAGGTTTAGCGAAATTCTTGCTAATGGTGGTGCCGTTTTGTCCAACAATTCCTTCTCTTGAAATAATTAAATTGCTTTCTAAAATCGAATATAAACAATATGATGTAAAAATTTGTAGAAATAAACAACAATAAATAATAAAACTTCTGAATATATAGGCCCCGTGTAAAGAAATTTCTCAACATAGGTCATGCATAAATAAATATATCATGATCAGCCCTGTGGTCCCTGTGTAAAAAAAAATTACATAAATTATATTTCAAAATATTTTTTTTTCTTATGCAGAAAATTCATATCATGATCAAATAGTGATTTATAACAATATCTTTTTATGTTTCTTATTTATGCAAACAAAAATTTTTATAACGTGCAATTAATTTAAATTTTATTTAAAAAATTTCTTTTTAATTTGACTGCAAGATAATTCTGTTATATAGATTTATTTTAGATTTTTACAGGTAAATACAAATTAATCATAATTGTATATGCTAATATATTCATCAAATATGAATCTTATTACTTGATAGTTTTTTTTAATTGGAACTTATAAAGTGCTTTTTTCCCTGGTATATTTAATTAATTGTTGCATATTTGAATGATAATCATTAAATAGCACGCAACTTGAAAATTTAACTATTGTTTATAATTATCAATATTTTTTTTTTCATTTTCAGACTAAATTTTTCCCAACCAAATTTTTCTCAATTGATTGACTTGTTGGGAAAAAAATAAATTGAATTGAATCAATTGAACATTTGATTAAAATTAAAAAAATAATTACATTAAATAATACTTATACCAGCTTAAATTATTGGTGGTTCGGAATGGGCCGCTAGATGTCGAGCAGAGGTTGGGCTCGGAGTTGGAAAGGAGTATTGACGTCACCGGTGCAGGAGGTGCCTGGTGTTGGTCGGATTGCTCGCAGCGGGCGAGCGGCGAACGAAGCTTGAAAGCAAAGCAAATCCGAGTGCGAAAGAGCAGCCAAGTGGACGGACGTGTTCAGAGCAGCAGGTCCGAGCAGTAGGTTTTGCGAGTCTGCCAGCGGCCCGTGCGCGTTCGGACATCAGCGGCCCCGTGGCCGGGCCGGAGGCGAGCGTGGCCTCCGAGGACGACGTCCGACCACCCTGACACCGGACACACTCAGGATGCCTCTGTTCGGCGGCAAGAAAGATGCCACCAAGAAGCGCAAGGACGCCAAGGACGCCGAGAAAGTGCCCTCGGTCGAGGACAAGTACCACCTCAAGGAGCTGCTCGGAACGTGAGTACCTCGTCCCGGACGCGTCCCACTCGGGACGCGGCCTTTTCATGCGTGACAGGCTCGCTTCGAATCGCCGAACCCGATTTAATGTCACTTTCGACGCGAATGAGCCAAAGAAAGAAAGAAAAAGGGGTGGTCCGGGGGTCGATCGCTCTAGAGGCGTACGTAAGTGTCCGTGCCCGCGCTTCGGACGCGGCACAGCTGATTCTGACGCTTCGGACGAGTCGGCGGGGGCGTGGTTTCCCAAAAGAGGATGAAAAAGGATCGAAAATTAGAACTTGAGTGAAATTTTGAAATAATTTCTCAATTTCTATATTTTAATTTAATTTATTTTTAATTTGCAAATCTAAAAAGAAAGGATTTAATTTCATTGAGAAGTGATTGAAGTTAAAAATAAACCGTTAGAGCTAAAAAAAACAGGAAAAATTATAAATTATAATAATTTTTTCCCCAAAATTTTTATTATAAAAAAGATATTTCGAAATTTACCTGAATAGGTTTCAACAATGTTTTTGGTGAAAATTTAACAGAATTTTTCTACGTATTTTAAATTATAAACAAATATTTTCACTTCAAAAATGTAAATTAGCGCCCACCGGTTGCAAAACACCAAAATTCAATTGCCGCGTATTTAAATAGAACCGACGGGTCACGCGCAAATCCTGATTTACCGCCGTAAATTTGCATAAAATATTGCACGAGAGAAATTGATTTCTCAATTTATGACCGAAACTAATTGCGGCACGAATTATTACACCGTTCCGAATTTGACAAAACAACTCCGGGCTATTAGCAGAAGGGATTTTTTTTAAAACAATAATAATTCATTTTAAATTAATATTTCCTCATTTTTTTATGAAAATAAATTTTTCTGAATTTGAAATAAGTCAAATTTTTGCTTGCTTGAGCGTGAGATAATATTTCGGTCATGGCTGTGCTATCTTCCATGATCTTTAGGCAGGTCGATACTGAGCATTTTGGGGATGGAGTGGGGATAATTTTCAAATGAGTCTTGGCGGGGGAGTTAATTGTTAGACGCGAGGGTTGCTAATTGCTCGTTTGGCTCACAACCCGTTCGTTGCTGGCAAAAAGTGGGTCGCGGCAAGTTTGTTTAATATTTTAAGAAGGAAAAATTCATCCAAAAACGTTGACATTGAAAATGTGTTATAATATTTTTATTTACAACAAAAGATTAAAAAGAATATAGAATACATGAATAAGAATTAAATTATTTAAAATATATTTCAATTTATTATAATAAACTTTTGGTTACTGAAAAACAATTTAAAATTATTCTATAATAAATAATTAAATTGTGTTTTTCAATTTTTTTTATTTTTTTCTCTTTTTACCTATAAAATCCATTTCAAAGTTTGTTTGGAGTGGATTAGAATAATTAGAGATCAGCCGTTCTCTATTTAGAGTTGTTTCCGAGGCCTCGTCGGTGGTCGACAGGGGAAGCCGCAGAAGGAGGAAAGATTGAAAAAAGCCGACAACTGCTGTTGTTGAGTAATCTGACCGCCGCTGAAATAACACATAACGCACAAGTCCCACTTTCGGACTGCATAATCTCGACACACATTTATCCATTTTTGTAACGTGCAATAATGGAGGCCGGAGCGTGATATAACACAATAAAAATTATACACGCGGCGGCGTGTAAAATTGGCGCCGCTGATTACGCTCATTATCAGTGGGACGCACGCCCAACAGAAATAGAGTCGATCAATTTATTTTGCAGACCAAAAATACAATGCGCGAGTCTGATTTCGCTTTTTTGTAAAAGACGACTGATCCAAATAGCAATTTATATTTTTAATTTCACAATTTGAAAAAAAAAAACGTGTTTAGTGAACTAAAAAAGAAATTCTGATACTGTGCAATATAAAAACTGAGCATTGGCAAAATTAGAAATGTTTGCCCTTTGCTTATAATTTTAATAATAAAAATTATTTCCTGAAGATAAATTTATTTCTATTTTGAGAGAATTGATATTTCAGATAAAAATTCTGGCATTCCTATTCGTTTTTAAAGCTTTGCTTTATTTCATTTAATCTCAGAACTCCACGTAAGATTAATTTTTGAACAGAAATACTTAATCTAATTGAATTTTAACCGACATAAAAAATTACAAAATCATCAACTCGCAATTCAATGTAAAAACTTTTATCAAATACACCCGGAAAAGGTCTTGCAAGATTGGAGTGGGGTGTTAAAAATATTTTGGCCTTAAAAAGGTTTGAATTAAATTATGGGCTTGGTATGAAAATAAAGTTTTGATGATGAATTTAACATTGAGAAATGCCATTTTCGGACAGAAATATATAAGATCAATTCAAAAACATGATTTATTTCAATCTCAATATTTTCATCCATCTTGTCTCAGTATTGAGCATCAAAATTACTTCTTTAATCTGATTATCAAACACATTTGAGGAAATAATTTGATTTCCTAGAATTATTTCTAGTTTATTGTGGGTTTTTCGCTATAAATCGTTTCATCTCTACAATGATGCACTCCTTTAATGCCCTAAAATGTAATTTTGATTAAATAATTTAGTTAAAAAAACGCCATTTTTCATTTTTCCAGACTGGTTTACTAAAAACTTAAAAGTCGGTGTTTTTTTTCTTTCTAAAAGATATATTTTGAGGAACAGTCTCAGAACGCTCCCTTTGCAACGGTGTATGCGTGACTCATACTAATCACCAGGTGTTCGAATCAATTTATTTATTACCCACAAAAGTACACTCTCATGGCTGGCTTCAAAAGTAACAACTAGTTTCTCTAATTAGAATATACAGAATGCAGATTAAATTTATACATTGAGATCAATTCCAAATCTCGCTCTCCAATTACAATTAATCCAATTTAAATTCCACTTCTTCTTATCAAGCCGAAAAAACTCTCGTCCAGTCCAGTTTCTCGGATTAAGCACGTCGGGCAAACACGTTAGTTCACTCGCAAAATAAATCCGTCTCGCTCACTCGCAGGCAGATAACAAAAAAGAATATTTGCCCCAAAGCCCGTCCTCATGCCACTTTATATCGACACTGGCTAATCCCCGTCAATAATTATAGCTCCGTCTGTATCTGAAAGCTCTTATCTTTTGTAAAAATATGATTTTCTGTATAATAATATTTTTTATCTTCAAACAGCCTGTCGATTCCGCTTTTGATTTAATGAGAGCAGCTTTTTGTTTGACCGACACCGTCGATCGCGGTGAATTATTCACTCGCGGGCAGGCGCACATGCAAAATCAAAGTTCTCGTGCGTCAAACGAGAACAGCTGCTTCGGACAGTCAGAAAAAGAGATGCCTGCTGCTTTCGTAATGTTTTCAGACGCGTGTCAAATTTAACCACGGCGAAATTTATTAACGCCCGATCTGTCAAACTGCAGGCATGCGATATTATTTTTTCAATTTAATACGACTCGTCAAATGGTATTTCACATTGAAATAAATGAGACGCAAATTATGTCTAATGGAAATCAGAAGGTGGCATTTTTTTTATTGTGCTTGAAAATGATGCCAATTTTATATGATTAATAAATAATATAATGTTTTGTTGTTAAAAATTTCATTTTTACCAAAATAAGTAGAAAATAAGAAGTTTATTAACAATTTTATATTAAATTCCGTTCAAAATTCCTCTTGAATATTTGGACAAAAAAATCCTTGTTAATAGAATTTCAGGAAAATAATTGATAATTTACTCAACTTTTTACAATTAAAGCTTTTTATAAGGAAATTTAAGAAAAAAAATTCAAAAAAATAATAAATTAATAAAAATATTTAAATTCTTGGTTGCTCTTTGTTAAAAAATGATAAATTATCCTAATTTAAGTAAACTTAATTTATTTTTTAAAATATTGCAAAATAATTTAAGCAAATAAAAATCAAAATTGCAGAGTTCCACAAATAAATTCACAGTGTTTTTTCAAGTGATTAAAAAACTTTGCTGAACTCAATGCTTGTAAAAATAATTGCGGCAGTTTATCGATCGTGTCCTGGCAAGGGTCGTTTCAAACCAAACATGGCCCCCATTTTTATTTATTTTTCATCCCTCACCGCCTCATTTAGAGCGCTCGTAATTCCGCTCATTTCAAGCGAAATTGCGCCTGTTAGTGCAGACGGCGCTTTTAACCGCGCAGAAATCTTTTTTTTTTATAAATATAGAGGCTGGGGCGAAACAAAGAAAAGTGCATCGAGCGCTTGCAGGCGCAAACAAAGCGGGCTCGAGCGAAGAGGAAGGTGTTGCTGACGACTGGAAAATCAATCAATATAAGCAGCCAGAAGCGGCGGCACGCTCTGTCGGCCGGAAAAGCGACTCGCTTTGTAATGTTGCAGGCCTTGATATGTATAATTGTGGTAATTTGATTAAAAGCATATGTGGCGGCGGAAATCGGAAAAATGGGCCGGCCAGGAAATTAATCTTTTTATTGCAGCCGACCACGGAACGAAATGCGGTAGAATTATATTCTGTAGGCTAATCAACTCTGGTTTAATCAAGCAGTGGGAATAAAAGTGCTGCCGAGAGTAATTGTCACAGTGGATTGAATTGAAGCGGCGCCAGAAGTTCTTCTGGCCGTCAGGATTAATTAAGAAGAGCCCTCTCGTGAAATGTTCGGATCTGTTTTGTCTCGGATGATAATTTGGAATGGAACCAAAAATATTATCTTTCTCTCACAATGATTGCGAGATTTTAGAGAACAATGGCAGGTGTTTCCAAGCTCATTAAAATAATTGAGTGAAAAATATGCTAATGACACGCATGTCATAAATTAAAGCAGGAATAACAATTTTTATTTAAAATGTTATGCAATGTAAATTTTCACTGAAAATATTATCATAATTATTAAGAATATTATCACCACATCAAACATTAAGCTCAAAATTTTATTAAAAAAGCGAAACCTTCATGTTTTGAAAGTATTTCAAACCAATAATATTTTTGTGTGGTAAGGATTTTAAGCAATAACATTTATTTATTTATTTATTTA